TGCGTGGCGTGGACGTCTGTGTCTGGAAAACCAGGTCCAGTCGACGTACCCAAGCACCAGTTTTCCAGATCCAGCCCTCCCACTGCTACCACGGAGGACATAGCTCCGAGCTTCTCATGGAGTGCCTCCTGAACAAGGCCACGACCCACAACCAAGACGGAGCCGCATCTTTCGATGGAGCATTCGAGTCCAAAGGAGAATACAAGAAAATAATGCGTGTGTGGGGTGCATAAGAGAGAATAAGAGGCGAGTCACTTGACTCGCATCGGGTAGCCTCCGACGAGCTGAACGGCTGGCAGCTTGTCGTTGGAGACCTGAGTACAGTAGCGTAGAAGCGCTATCGTTTCCTGGTTTCCGGTATCAAGATGCCCAAGATCCCAGAACGGCCAACGGAACGCCCTCTAGCGAGATCTAGGCTCAGCGTTCCGTAAGCCGGTCGTACGGCTTGACGGAGTAGATTTTTGTTGATGACTCGGCGGCGTTCGTCGCTCGAGACTTTGCTTTCCCAGACACTGCCATAAGCACTGATCACATGCACTAAAAGTATGACGACAGCTGCTGGAAGTTTCCGGGTCTTGTCTTGTCTTCTTTCTCGGTAATGCACATGCTTGCTGATATTCCGGCTTCGAGATTGATAAAGACTTTCCTGGTGTTCAAGTGGTCATCACCAAAGAAGAAGCGAGGGAAGCAATCTAATTTGGCGGGGCCATGTATCGAGCCCCACATGAGGCACGGACCACTCTGGCTGTGTTGCATCAGCCGGAAGTTCGGGCTGCTTCAGCGCGTCACAGAATCACCAAAAACAAAAATGCATTGGGATTACCAGGTAATATTCTAGAACCAGGACCAGCCATACCTCCTTCTCAGGTTTTAACCATCATGCTATGTGCAAAATCCAGCCATGTCCCATGTGGTATCAATATCCTCATCGCTATATACATTACCTGGCAGAGCTGACCATATGCAGTATCTTGAACCATCACTGCGACCGTCAAGCAACCCACAGACTGAGACCAGCTCAGCCTCTGCGACCGGCACTTCGTACAGTAGTACTGCGCAGCAGTGGCTCATGCATGAGTGATTGTGTGGAGTAGCAGAGCTATCTCCGCGAACCTGCCATATGTCAGTGTGAGCAACGTGGTCATATTCCGGATCTGACGTCTTGCGTCACTCACCGCTTGCATTCTTCTGGTCGAACTGCGCACCAACACCACGGAGTAGGGGGTCGTCGTCGAACGACATCCGAAAGCAGCACGAGGGCAACTGATGCGAGACTGCGTTGACGAACTCCTCGACTTGAGCAGCATGTTTGGTATTATCTTGCGCCCTGTCACTGTGGAAGGTTGCGAGGAATTGCGTGACGTCCTCGTGCAAGCTTCGCTGAGGCGGAAGCCCTGCGGCAGACAACACATGCTGCTGCGGTTCTCGTCCCTGGCTGCTGTTCGTGCTGCCGGTGCTCTTGGTGTCACTGCTTTCCTTATCAGGATACCTGTTCTGCCCACGGATTATGTAACTGCCAGTTGATGTGCGTGCCTGAGTCTCGAGCCCTGCTGGGCTCTAGTCGACCGCATATCTGACATGGTTACCGGTGGTCGGATGGCGATGAGGTTCCGAGGTTTACGATGAACGCACGCGTGTCGAGGGTGCTTGTGCTGTCTTGGAGAGCCAAGTGGCTAGTGCAGCCGAAGTTGGGTCATAAAATGCACCAAGTGGTCAGAGTCATGGTTGAGCTACTGTTGTTTTATCCAGGTTGAAGAAAGAGTCGTTGCTTGTTCGAGTAGCCATTTCACACAAAGACTGGCGAAGTATTTATGAGCGTCTGCCCCACGCTTGTTGCGTTGGTCCAGTTGACGAAGGTCGGGTAAGGACGATACGATGAGGTCCGGCATTCAGCTATGATTGCTATAAGTTCCAGCGAACTAGCAGTCCCAAATCAAGAAGCTGGGCATACAAAGCTGTCCAGCTGACTGCATTTGCTGCCTCCTATGTTGATCAAAGTGAGGCAAATAATGGCTGTTCGTTGCATCCAGCCCGTTTTGGTTCCGGTCGCAGCCTGTTTCTTCCGCGGACCATGCCGGCTTCCCGCGGTGGGCCAACCGGAGCGCCGCAACGTTTTCGTCTCACCTTGTGTAACGATCAACCCCCGGACTTTCGCTCAACTGTGCCGCATCACGCACGTATTCCAATCCAGGGACATTCTTGTCCGGCACTTTCATCAGCTGCCTAACTTAGCAAGGCTGCAATAAGCTCTCTATGGTTCATGACTGCCTTCAATATCTTTCCTCTCTGCCCCCATCGGAGACCTGCATTGTGTGTTGAGCCATAGGAATCTGCATTCCGTCTGCCTTTGTGGTTTCGTTCCGAGCGTCTCGATTGACTGCGCCCGGGCACTATTCCCATCCTCTTTACCCGCCTGCTTTTCCTTAGCTTTCGGATGAGTCGAGCTTCAGACGGCTTGAGGCATTTTCGGGGACAGAGTGTTGATAGAGCAGGCTTCTAGGTAGTATGCACCTATTGCCACTCTTCTTCAAAAAAGAACTCCTCCGTATCAATCTAACAATAGATGCAAGTCCGCTCCAACTGCAATGCGGTTCCGCCCAGCAACTGATCACCAACAAGTGGCACAGATCGAGGAACCTTCATACCCCTTCCTCCCTGACCCTTCTTCTCATATGTTCACTCATCACAGCCCGTCTCCGTAGTTGTCGTCCGCTCCTTTCCTTTCACTCTCTCATGTTCTTCTAAAACGAGACTACTTGGTACCGTAGAAGCGGCGGTCAAAGTCTTTTATGATAGCCCGCATCCTCTTTTTATGCTGTCTGATCGACCTTTGTGTCTGGTCTGGCGTGTTCCGAACTTGCGAGAGGACCCTCCTGGTGAAGAGGAGCAGAACTCGAAGCCGTTTCAGATCACCGTCATCAAGCCCCGGATAGCGAGGGGTAGAGCCACGAATGATGCTGTGGTATATACCTATTAGCGGTGCTCGCGAAACGCATTGCGAGGGTCTTGTATCTAGGGATTCGGAGACCGGGGAGCGTCACCTCTGCACAGAGCCCCGCTCTGCTCGGTTCGAGTCGAAGGAGTGGACGGAAGTCATCGTGGCTTGCGAGGGACCAGCGGTGCTCGAAAGGTGATGGTGTCGCCGGTCGCATGGACTTCCATGTGTTGCAGAGCTCTTGTGTCTTATCAACACGTACGATCAAACGTTTGTGCCCATTTACAACATCAGCACCAGCATATCCTCAGGAGTTTCAAGCGGCGGACTGGTGAGTTATATGAGGTCGGCAGCATTTGCTGACGAGGAAAGACATGGTCCGCCCTCCTATATTACTGCATACCGCACGCATGTCGCTTGATCGAGCTGACAAGGGGCGTTATATGAGACGCATGTGAGTGCAGTCCATTTCTAGAGGGTAGCACAATGGTGAAGCGAACACAGCAATAGACAAACGGGTTGGTGTGGGGGTTTGTGCCTTGAGGGTACACCGCTCAGATGACAGGCTGCACCGCGCATATCTTACAAAGTTAATGAGGCCTCGCCCTTACCATGGGTTAAGGGGGCAACACAGACGTGGGACAGGAGGAGCCTGGCGCGGGTGGATACCATGGCGACAAGCGTGGCCATGGTGTGCCGACAAGGAATCTGGGGAAGGAGGCGAATGGAGTGCCTGGTGAAGCACGAGACTCAGGGGCGCCAGGTGCACCCTACCACCTCGCGTCTCCCAGTATCGGATTGTAGCGGAATGATGCTCCATTGGACAGAGCTCACCCAAGAGAGCAAAGCTGGCTCTTGAACACGTTTGCCCGTCAGTGATTAGCAAATAGCAAGGGGCGAGGGCCGGGAGCCCTGGGAGCGGGGCCGGATGAGCACCGTGTTCGTTGTCCAAGCTCAGACAGGGCGTGGGGTGGAAGTGAGCCTCATCCCGCGTCGTCCCCAGTCCCCTCTTATGTACGTACCGCGGCAAGACATCCGGAATCAAGTCCAGCGGGGTGGCACTCGATTGGAGAATGTGTCTAACGTCATCCCCCACATCGGCGGCATCCAATGCCACGACACTGGGAAACTGTCGCTTTGACGTGCAGCCCGATTAATCCCGCAGGCAAAGACGAGCACCGAGCTCACCGAATAGGGTTCTCATGCAGCGCCTGGGGTGTTACACTACAGCTAACAGCACTACACTACGTAGTCTCACTGCGGTGGCATGTGTTGTTTACTTGGCCGCTTCAGCGGATGACTTGTTGTCTAATCTGTCGCCCGGCTTCCACACCGAGCGAGAGTTGCAGCGGGGATTACCCCGTCGATTACCCCGTTGTGACGACTCAGGTGCGAATTGCTGGCCAGGTGGCTGAGGCAGGTGAGTCGGTGTCCTCGACAACCAACCAATCGCTCAGAGATCCGTTGATGCCGGAGAACAAGGGTTGGCGTCCAATTGATGTAATTTCTGCACATTGAAAGTGTTGCAATGCACTTCCCCGACAGCTCATTCAAGCTGGTGTCTCGCTTGGCTTACAGTGCATCGTGTCAATTTGGAGAGGTCGTCATCGTCTCTTGCATTGGTGGCATGCAAAGGTGATGGAGCGCGGGGTGTACATGGCGAAGTTTGTCCAGAAGCTCCATTGTTTCATTTTGTGTACTGTGTCAATATAGCCCAGGTCAGGACCAATTCGGCTGCAGGAACATTATGAGCTTAGTGAGGTCCCCTCATCGTTGGGCCAGATACAGTCGCTTCTGAGGAAGGCCAGGTGAAAGCTCTTTGGCAGGGAAGATGAACACGTAGGTGCCAGCCCGCCGACAGGAGGACGGACGCCTGCGATGCAGAAACACATACCTATGCGATGGGGAGGTTTTTCGATTATAATCAATCAACAATCGAATCAACAATCGAATCACGGAAGAGATAAAGGGGCACAGGTCCCTGATTGGCCAATTCCTTTAATCTGCAACCAAATCAATCTGAAAAAAAAATTCGAGAAAATGCGAAAGCAAGCAAAAGTGATCGTGGAGGAGCTGGGAGTCGAACCCAGTACCTCGTGCAAGTAACATGTACCGACAACACACCCGAGACGAGCACGTCATTCAGAGATGCTAAGCACGCGCTCTACCAGATGAGCTACACCCCCGTGGCTGTTGGAGAGGACGGTCGTATTGCCCGCCATGGACGAGCTGTGCCCTCTGGCCGTCGGCTTTGGAGAAACTTGTCTCGTCCCACCGGGACGCACTGGCGCTGAGTGGCTGGCGTCAGCCACGGAGAACGAGCTATACACCCTTGCCGTTGGAGAAACAACCCGGAGAGTCCCACATGGACACACACCGCCTGCTGGGATGGGCATACACCCCCCTCCCCTGGCAGACTCGATGTCGGGCTTATTAGTGTGTGCCAGATACTGTGTAGTGTATGTACATCATAGATCTGTGCGGCAGGATTGTTTGGCAGAACCCTAAAGTCTCCACTTTCGACGACAAGTCCATCGCCGGCATCCGAGTGAGATCTACACAGTAAAGCTGATTCCGCGCAACACACCGTATGAAGATGTCAGTCCGGTGGAAATGTGATGGTAATCGACCCAGATCCCGCTACACACCTAATACACAGATGTGTCAACGACTCTAGATTTGTAAGAATTGTGGTCATCCTTTTCGCCTTCCAAGGCTTCTAGTCCTTCCGCCCAGTCATGCCCTCCAGTGCTGTGGTCGTCACCCCTTCCCCCAACCAGGTTCAACTCTGACCGCCCCGTAATGCTTCAAAAACCGGCTCCAAATCACACCTCCATCTTGAAAGCCCTTGTTCTTCCCACCTGCTCCCTCCCCAACGGCAACAGGCCATAGCACCCTCCCGGCCCCATCCGCCCAGCCAACCGGCCTTCCCCCGCGCTACGCCTCCTCCAGCTCCAGCGCGGCGCTCAGGTACCCCGGGCCGACAGTGTTGATCGCCACGCGCCGCTGCGTCCACGCCGGCCCGGCCTCCGTCTCGGTGATCATGTTCAGCGCCGCCTTGGACATGTTTGTGTGTACGTGCTGGCCGTCTTTGTGGGGGTTCGACCGCGAAGATTCGAAGATGCCTTCGCGGGACAAGACGTTGACTATGTAGCCTGCTGGTCGTTTGTCATTTTCCTGCGAGGATGGCGGCGGGGTAGCTGTGGTGCCGCCCATTAACTGGAGCAGTTCGAGGATGAGGATCAGTGGCACGAATGTGTCAACGCTGTGGGATGAGATGACGTCTTCGTAGGATACTTCAGAGAGAGATTGCACCCAGGACGACTTGTTCTCGAGAGGGACCATGTCCTTGGATGAGGCTGAAGCACCTCTGTCTCTGTCTGCGTTGGCAGCGTCATCGGAAGTCCCGCTGAATGCTCGATCATCGGATGATCGTGCGCTGCGGTTCACCCTGCTGTGAAACTCTGGCATCGAAGTCTCTGCTCCTTCGATCATGGCCTCTGGGCATCCGCGCACGCGAGGACTGATCTTGGACCAGCGGTGTCGTGGAACCCTGTTCCTAAAAAGGTTCTCCCTGTAAACTGACTGTCCTTCTGTCTCGACGCTGTCCGTCAGCGTCTGAGCGGCGTTGTTGATAAGGATATCGAGCCTGTCTCCCCATGTCTCGATGACGCAGCGGGTGTGGTTGACGAGGTCGAAGGCATCACGCGCTGAGCGGAAGTCAGCTCCGATGACTCGAAGCCTGTCAATCCACGCAGTCGAGTCGGACTCGGCCTCATACCGAGATACGGCATCTCGTGGGTACCGACTGGACGCGATGACCCGCGCGCCACATCGGAGGAGTCGTAGTGCGACATGGTAGCCGAGGTTGACGCGTGCGCCGGTCACGAGTGCAGTCTTGCCTGTCAACTCGACTGTTCCAGGCTTCGAGAGCTCCGACCCGGCCATGTTCGAAGTCTCCACACGGGATACACATGGCCACGAAGGATTTGTGGGGAACGTGAACACCTAAACGACATATGTCGCAGCGCGGGAGCGCGTCGTTGCCTGGAAGAGAGCGGGCAGGTCGAGCTGTCAGGTACTTCGCAACGCTTTCGTCCCATGTGCCCGTCTCTGCCCCGTCTCTTTCTGTGACGTTTGCGCAGTCTCAGCCGCAGTACTGATGCTCAGCTCTCTCAAAAGATCTAAGGTGTTAGCGACGCTTGCGCTAGGATCAGGAGAGCACTCCAGCAGGTGGCGTGGTACTTTCGACGCGACGTCCACATCACTCTGGGTAACCTCAGTCAAACGGGGTCGTGGAACATTGTTGGATATATCCGCACAAGTCGATGCCGCGCAGGTCGATGCCTGGACGTTGTTCGGATAAGCTACATCATCCTCAGCTTTGTCTGTCAGATCGCAAGACAACCTATAGCCATCGTTGTGGCTTTTCAGCTTCCCAGGGTTTTGCAGGTACCGGGTGAGTTTGTGCTTGAGGCTGTCGTATCTAAGCTGTTGTATCTCAATCCCCACGTCAATGCAAGGCACCAGATATTTTGCGATGTCACGTCCCCGTGGCGAGGAGGAATCGGGCAGGTGACGAGCAAGGAGGGTAGGTCTTGATGTCGGGTTTCTTACTCCCTCCTCCCCACAGACGTTGAAGTCTCGCAGCATGCATGATGCAATAAGCTCTGCTGGTGCCTTGGAGACGAATTTTTCATAGTCAGGCGGAGGAAAGAGGGCGTCATCTGCCAGATCTCGAAAATTGAACCGTGTATCGCACTCGCCCAGCCCCTTGCACGCGGATGCCAAAGGAAATGATAATTTCTCCATCCATTGAACACAAGCGAGGAAAGACCTCAGCCACGACAGCTCGCGCAGTGGTCTCGGCGGGCCGCTGACATAGTGTAAGAATGGTGCATACTCGGTATTCTTGCCGAGAGTAGCTTTTAGACGCTCCGTATTCGGCATGCCATTGTCATCGACGCGCTCCAGAAGCCGGATGTAGCGTCCTGGATTGCGATGGTAGATCATCCGGATACCGGCCTCTGCTTCTCTCAGAGCTGGAAGTAAAGCTTCAGGGTATCGTGAGGAGCAAAATGACAGTGGATATTTCCTTCGAACGGCCTCGAAGAGAATGAAGCACCAGTCGTATGGTACTAGGGCCGTATCTGGAGAACGGAACCTATAGGATTTGACACTTCTGAAGACCTCTTTCGAATGTGGGTGAATAAACACCTTTGAAGGTGTGCGAAGCGGTTTGGTCAGAATATGCTCCGCGTCTCTTCGCAGCCTTTCGGCGACGTGGGTTTTGTTCGACGGCGGCGCTTGGGGAGCGAATGGGAGCTTCAGCTTCCCTGGAAACTCATCGTACAATTTGGCCACAGACAACAACTCGTCACAGTAAGACTCTTTTAGCAATTTATGTGCCTGCACCAAGAAGGGTAAGAATCGGTGGGCTGACTCGACTGTCCACAGATCCCGCCTGGACAAGTCTCCGCTGGAGAGGTCTAAGGCCATGTTCTCCCCTTCGGCCAAGCAGTCCCGCGAGTTTTGAGGCATCTTCGCCTCGTAGAGCGCGTGCTGAAAACCAAGAAAATCTCTCTTCTTGATCGCGGAGAGGAGTGTGCTAGGGAGAAAGAGGCAAAGGGCCCGGATTTGAGGAATAGAGAAGCCGAAATAAACCTGCTTAGCGGCGCCCGGGCGGACGGTATACAGGTCACATCCGAGTATCCGCCGGACGCCCAGTATCACGCAGTTATCCAAAGCCTGACGAGCATTCTCGGCGTCCCACGTGTGCCATTTCTGGAACTCCGGAGACTTTAAGCAAAGGAAATAATGCGGCAGGGTTTTTATATTGATGTAATGGGTGTGGCACCACAGCCAGGAGAGCCTGTTGAGGGAGGCCCATACGCGCCTCAGCCGCCAGATATGGCCCTTGAACAGCCACGACCAGGTCGGGCTGTGCTCAATAGCCCAAATAAGCGATGGTCCGCAAGATGGGACGGCCGTGAGTTCGAGCACGCGAAAGAGCGGCAGATCCTGGATGATGGGTTCCACGAGCTCAACCGGCAGCTGGGAGAGGCGTGCGGTGATCCGCGTAGTCTTCGGGCACGAAGGTGGGAGCTGGTCCGTGAGGGTGACCTCGTAGAGCGAAGTTGCAGCCATGCTCAGCTGTCGTTCGAAATTCGTGGTTCTGTGATCGTCATACCGTGTGATAGTCAAAGTGTCTCGCCGTTTGGTCGTATGGTTGTCGATCGTGAGTCCGAATCTGACTTGTGATCAATCGTTGCGATTGATGAGTTGAGATCACAGATATAGAAGGGGTCGCGCTTATATCAAATGACTCTGTTCCACTTCTACGGTGTTCTCTTAATTCACTGTCAAAAGGTCTGGCAACAGAGTTCGTGGTGTGACTCTTGTCGGCGATGCTCTCTGTCTGGTCAGTTCTGTCTTTACGTACGCACCAGGAATAGGTCGTGCAATCTCCAAAGCCAATGTTGATCTGCCAAATAGCGACGTATTCTCGTACAGCCGAGTATACCAAAACGAAAACTATAATCCACTTATCCTCTTGTAGCTTGATCTACCTGCTGAGATCTCGACAATATTTTCTGGTGAGTCAAGAACAGACACGGGCCAAGGCGACGAAGGGCGCAAATAGGCAACGTGACGAAGGCGCTCACGAATCCTCCTTAGGCCAACAACAACTTTTCCTCCTCAACAAACGCTCGGCTCTGTGACGATATGAACTCTGACTTGTGTACAGTCATTTTTCTCGAACGTCCATTACATATTCTTAACGGTAGTAAGCTGTGTAACTGGCGAATATGGAGCGAGAGTCGAGGTTGGCTCGCTTCGCACTCAATGGTTATTGACGGTCTGTTTGTATGTCGAGGTTCGCTTCTAACAAATTCTTAATTGCCAAGGGTAAGCTTACTCATTCTCTTCTTAGGGGCATTCGGGCATTGAGTGAGGGCACCCTCGTAAACAGCCTCTGTCAGTATCCAGTATTGAGTGTAGTGCGTTGACCGACGAGAGGTCGAGCTGTTCGTAACTAGACCTCTGGTCAATTCAATCCGTAGGTATTATGAGGATACCCGAGCATCTACGTCCCTATTTATATCCATAGCGCTCAAAGGTGGGAGCAGTCTCACAATGTGACAGGAGTCAACCCAACAAGATCCCGGTTGGTAGCGTGTACTCG